TCAGAAATTAAAAATATGTATAATTACTATGAACAGCATTGGCTCTTAACAATAGCACACAATTGGTAATTTTGAATCATTTTCATTACACATATTAAGAAACAAAATTTCCGAATTCTGCTATGTTTTTACATGATGTTGAATTTCAAGTGAAAAGAATTACTTTTATTTAGAAATTTCTTTTCATGCATTATTTTTTAGCAGTGGTTACTAAGCATACTTGACTTCTAGGAGGGCATTTATATAATAAACAAAGTTAAATTGAGGTTAAATTCATTATCATATACTACATTTTGCTATATTATTATAATTTTGTATTTAATAATGTTTATTATATTAGTATATGTTATATAAGTGTGTTTGTATATCTATTATAGATATTCCAATATATACATGAGTGTATAAATATTACATGCTTTTATTTAGTGGGTAAAAACTTTTGAATGTTCAATTAATGGCTTCTTTTACATTTAAATCTTAATGCCTCCTAAAATGTTAATATTAAGAGTTGTTATACTACACTGATAGGGAATGTTATTGTTTGGATATGAAGTACGCCCCAAAAGCTCATGTGTTGGAAACATGATATCCAATATAACAATGCTCAGAGGTAAATGTTGAGATTATGAGAGCTATAACTTCCTCAGTGGATTAATCTATTTGATGGGTTAATAATTTTCATGGACTACTATGTAGTAACTATAGGCAGAAATCTTTTGCAAGGAGCGGAAAGAGTAATAGGTGCCCATGGCACCCAAGGGCAGAATGGGTGAGCAGAGCATTGCCGCACCTGACCAGCGCAGGCAGCTGAACAAAGGTCGCTCATGTGAATTTGTAGGGACACAAAATAAAACAGACACAATTTACCTTTATACAAGCTTCAGGACAGCTTCCTCGGCTCTTGGCCTCAGGATCCTCAAAAGGGAGAGCAAGAGAAAGTCACGAGAGGCTGACAAGAGAGAGCATACACTTGGAAGTCAGCTTTTACTGGGGGGGACACTGTTCTTAGAAACTTCTATCCATAATAAGGCAGAAGGGGTAGGATTACAAGAGAACAAGTGAGTGTAACTCAGCCCTAAAGTTATGCTCACAAAGAAGTGACCTTGCTATGCAAGCAGATCACTGCCCAAGCCACAATGAATGCAGTGGTTGGCCAGAGCCTGGTGCATCAGGACTGAAAGGCGTGGTCATTCAGTGTGGCTCCCCACAGAGCATCTGATACCAGAAGCATAACCTAAACTGGAAATTAAATTTCAGGTTTTCTAACACCAAAAAGCACTGGTCTAATAAAAATGGTGAAAATACATCTTCTATCTTCATATTACGCAGGGATTTGTCCATTTTTGAACTGGATGCATATACACCATATAGTTTTTACCACCCATACTCCCTTGACATAAGATGGGACCATGTCTGATAAATGCAAAAAGTTAAAAAAAAATCATAAGTGAAAAATGCATTTGCCAGGTGCAATGGCACAAGCCTGGGATCCCAGCAGCTTGGAAGGCTAAGACAGGAGGATCGTGAGTTCAAAGCCAGCCTTAGCAAAAAGCAAGGTGCTAATCAGCAACTCTGTGAGACCCCCCTGTTTCTAAATAAAATACAAACATAGGGCTAGGGATGTGGCTCAGTGGTTGAGTGCTCTGAGTTCTATGCCCAGTATCAAAAAAAAATGCACTTAATTCATTGGTTAATGGATTATCTTAAAAGCAGATCTGCCCTAAAAGCCAGATGGTTGGGTCACTAGTGGCTCTTGGTCTCTAAGCATGTGCTGCCCTGCATTGCCTCAGGACTCTGCCAGAGGCAGAGTGTGGCCTCTCAACCTTGAATGAGAATTGTGAGCAAAAATAAACCTTTTTTAGTTTAAACCTATCCAGTGTGGGGTACTATGCTGTTTGCCACAGAAAAAGGATGATTGGATTTATGAAACTTGATTTAGGAATATTTCACACTTTTCTGCTGTGTCTCACATGTGTACCAAGTGGGAAAGTTTTAAACTTTGAGCACAAAGTGATTTGTTTATAAATATTATTGTGGATAAAAGTGTATTTGCAAAAAAAAATACTAAATGAGGCACTTGAAGCAAAGACTTCAATAATTAAAATAGTTAATGCGGGGGAAGCATATTTACCTTAATCAGGGTAAATGAAATATGACAGTTCCCAGACTCATAACAAGACAGATACTCAGGAAGCCATGATAATTTTCATTGGATTTGTAGAAGCAAAATTTGGGCACAGTGACTCAGACTCAAAACTTCAGTGAGTGCAAAGATATGGAATCCATCACTAATGACATAAAAGGACATAATTCAAAAATTTGATAACCAGAAGTATCCCTAAGTAGCATAAGCAGGGTCACCCAGAGAGTAGTTAATAGCACAGTGCTGGCTGATAGGAGCACTTCAATTCTGAAACCAGAAACCACATTCTAAACAAATTTAGTAGAATGCTACTTGTTGATTAAAAGTGTCTTTGCAAACACCCACAACCCATTGTTTGCTTATACCCAGGTTCACAAATAATAGGGATGACTGGAGGTGAATTAAATGAAGCTTTGGACACAGATTACATGTTTGAGTCTCTCAGCATGTTGAGTGTTTATGTTTGAAATATCCTGGTGAACATGCTTTAGTTCCTCAGAAATGGTGTGTTGATTGTTGGCTATGTCAATATTCAATGCCCTGATCTCTGGGAAAGAATATAAAAAAGTAAATTAGCAATTACTCAGGTCCAGCCTACAATTGACTGCCCAGTCCTATAGAGTTAGAATTGCATTTTAATGATACTTCCATGGAATTTAATATACATTCTAGTTTGAGAAGCCATATTTTCAGCAAATGCTACACAAAGAAACCAGGAGAACCATGCATATATTCTTAAATATCCCTGTAGATGTACTTCTAAACTTCAATGAGAAAGATGCAAAGCACTTTAACTAATATCCTTTAATCCTATATATCAAAAATTATTGCCATTTCAACATGAGGGCCTACTCACATGTCAAGTGCTCAATATCTGCCAATGCCACTTATTGGACATCACATGACCTAAACATTAAATATTTGCATAAAAACCTCCAGTGAGCTCAAATCTATACTCGGAACTGAGAATAGTTGCTTGGTAGCATATAAATTTTAGGTGCCAGAATTCAACTAATGCTCAGATTTCATGGAGTACTGTTTGAATAGTTGTTTTCTCCAGAGACATTTATGGGCTGAGGGAGGGCTGTATAGATTTCTTACCCTATCAATTCATTATCCATAGATTCAGGTGTAGAATAGATCTCAACTGGGGCTCAGCATTTGCTCTATGATTAAATTGTACCCTCAGTCCCTATATGATGCTTTTCATGGTGTGACATGTCACCTGGGTAAGCAGATGGTTTTAAGTAGTATACAAATACTTTTTTCTAAACAAATATGTTTGTTTTAGTAAATATAAGAATAAAATGTAGGGGGCTGGGGCTATGGCTCAGTGGTAGAGCAGTCGCCTAGCACTTGTGAGGCTCTGGGTTCAATCCTCAGCAACACATATAAATAAATAAAATAAAGGAATTGTTTCCACTACAACTAAAAAACAAATATTTTTTAAAAGGATAAAATGTAATTAGTACACCAAACCCAGTTTTCTTCATTACCATTGCCTAGAAGGAGGGTAGGTTTTATTTTTGCCATTTATTGGTGCATTATAGTAGTACAAAATGGTGGAATTTATTGCTACATATTCGTATATGCACACAATATGACAATATAATTTGCCCAATATCACTCCCCAGTATTTTCCCTGGAGTTTTATTTTATTTATTTATTTATTTATTTTTGGTGCTAGAGATTGAACCCAGGACCTTGTGCATGCTAAATATGCTCTCTACCACTGAGTTCAGGTGCCCACAGATGTGGCAGTAGTGTGAAAGTGTTTGTTAAATCTAATTACATCAGTTCAATTTGGAAGTTCAAGTTCAAGTTCTTAGTGTATTTTGAATCCTATCAAAGAAAGAAACAGAGGGAATTATTTAGGATACACAAAGGAAAAAGAATAAGACTCACTTTCAAAATTCTACTAAAATAGCATTTATTCCTGCTATTAGAGTGTTCCCATTTTGAGTCAGTTTTATATTTAACAATTATATAAGTAGTTATCAAATCATAAGTGGATTATCATCTATTATTCTGTCTGAGAATAATGTCAGTCTTTCCATTATCAGATCTAATCATTCAAATTTCCAAGTTTAGACCAAATGTTTCAAACGTATGAATAAGGAGAAGTGTTTTGGTCAATTTCTTCATTGTTGTGATCAAAAGACCTAACAAGAACATTTTAGAGGAGGATAACTTTATTTGGGGCCTATGGTTTCATGGGTTTCAGTTCATAGGTGGCTAATCCATTCCTCAGGGCCTGAAATGGGGCAAAACATCATGATGGAGGTGTGTGGTGGAGGAAAGTAGCTTAGGACTTGGCACCAGGAAACAGAGAAAGACTGCTCTGCTCAATAGAGACAAAATATAGACTTCAAAGGCAAGTCCCAAAGACCTACCTCCTCCATCCACACCTTACCTACCTGCAGTTACCACCCAACTAATTCCTATTAGGGGATTTTTTTTTTCAGAGTAGAAATTAGAAGTTTATTAAAGGACAGCAGAAAAGACTTCTCCCCGAGGAAGAAGGGGACCCAGGAGGTGGAATCCCCCTATTAGGGGATTAATTCACTGATTAGGTTAAAGTTCTTATAACCCAATCATTAATTTCACCTCTAAACTTTCTTGCATTGTCTCACACATGTACTTTTGGGGGACACCTCATATATGAACCATAACAGATGAGTATCTAATTCATATTGTGTGTATGTGTATATATTGTTATATAGATGAATGATAATACAGTGGATATTTTGTTTTGCTTTTGTTGCTGTGGTTATCTTTGAAGAGGCCTGGTGCCCAGAATGGTGATGTTGGGAATCAGTGGAACTTTCAAGAGGTAGAATCCACTAGGAGGTTAATGGAGAGTATTCCCACTAATGAGATCAAACTAATTCTCATGAAACCATTTGATAGTTCTCCTGAGGTGTTATAAAAGCCTGATCCTGGCCCCAACCAGCTCTCTGGCTTCCTGTTTGACAGGTGATCCTTTGCCCCCATACACATACCTGCCATGATGTGACACTTACCAGAGGACAAACCAGTGAGGCCTATTCAATCTTGGACTTTGAACCTCCAAAACCAAGGGCTAAATAAGCCTCCTTTTCTTCCTAAGTTAGTATGTCTCATATATTTCATCATGGTTATGAAAAGCAAACTAAAACAGTATTGCCAAAGTTCATATTCCAGGATTAAGTGGGCCAAATGAACTCAATTTTTGGATGTTCATGTATACACCATTTTCCATGTGGTTCAATGTAATTTGTATTTTTCTTATTTTGCTTCCATACCTAGTAAGCAAAGTCTAAGGAATGAATGAAGCCATGTTTATTTCTGTTTTATATCCTCAGTGGTAACAAAATAGCTTGTTAAAGTAGACACACAATTCTTTTTTTTTTTTTCTTTTTCCTGCAATGCTGGTGACCAAACCCAGGGCCTTGAATACACCAGGCAAGCACTCTATCACTGAACTCGGCGTTCCCAGTCCAACACGCAAATTTTTATGGCAAATCACAAGGTATGTCCATCTAATACTTAAAACTTTTATTATTGGAAAATTGAAAGACACACATCATCACTGCATCATGTAGCAACTTCTAAACTCTGTTTCATGGGAGCGTAGGATGAAAGGCAGAGAAAGATATCAGTTAAATTTATGTTTTGTCTTCAGTAATAGAAAGAGCAAAATACAGTACAGCATTGGAAAGAAGCTGTTGTAAGAATTACACAGCAACCAGACAGAGGAGAGGCTCCTGACTTCCACTGCGAGCATTATGTAGGCAATGATGAGCTGGGTATGGACCCAGGTGAGGGCTCTATAGAGAAGTCTCACAGGCCGTGATCTGATAAATAAATTGGCAAAGGTGTGAATCAGGTAGTCAGCTTCTACCATCACGGCCCAGCAAAAAAAACCAAGTACCTGTCCTGGATGGAGTCCATGCCACCAGGCGGAGAAGGCGAAGGTCTGCAACAATGGCCAGCTCCTACTGTGCTGGAATATGAGCCGTCTGAGCCACTGAGCTGTGCTTTGGTTCCACTTCCTTGCGAACAGAGATATCCTATGGGTTGTTTCCAGTGTCCAAATGTCTGCATCAGGGATATATCCCTCCTCACCAGGGCTTGAACTGAGCCCAGCCCCAAAGCCTGCTGCCTGGAGGAGAGAGTCATCCAGGATCCAGTGAGAGTAGTAGGTGAGTTTGAAGAGACCAGCTGTGGACCACATGACATAAATGCACTCAAGCTGCTGGCAACCTGTCAGTCCTGCTCCTTCACTCACCACCCGGCTCAGGGCCAACTTTAGGCACTCCAGTCCAAGAATCTGCAGGCCCTTCCAAGTCAGAGCCCAAAAAGAAATCCTGGAACATAAAGAGCTGGGCCCTTGAACACGAGCCTGGAATCTCTGGAAGGAACACAAAGGGCCTCCCAGAAGAGCAGGGAAAAAGAGCAAGTAGCTGAAATAGGGCAGAGCCTTACAGAGATGCTCAGACAAAGAGCTCCTGCTCTGGATGCCTCCTACTGCAGCCTCCACTTTCCCCTCACAAATGTCCAGAGAGAGAGATGTGACCCTCTGGGTCAAGAGCATGAGGGAAGAGAGAGTGATGTAGAACCTGAAAGAGAATTTTTTTAAATGTAGAAACATCTCATATTTATTCTCTCTCCCATTCCAGTCTGCCACACATGCCCCCCTTAGAGAATCATGCCCCATAAAAACCCTTGGATAAATTCAGAACCAGACACACTACTCCAGACAGGATCCAAAGGTAAAATGGGGAAATTAACCATTAGAGATACAAATAAGAGTACAATGAAGAATATTTTAAACAAATATAAATTAATATTTATAATATTTCTAAGAATGGCTTATAAAGATTTCGATCAGAACCAGGCACAGCTGGGGAGGCTAAGAAAGGAGGATCTCGAATTCAAAGCCAGCCTCAGCAAAAAAGTGAGGCACTAGGCAAGTCAGTGAGACCCTGTCTCTAAATAAAATACAAAATAGGGCTGGAGATGTGGCTCAGTGGTTGAGTGCCCCTGAGTTCAATTTCCAGTACCCCCAAAAAAATTTAGATCAGAAATTTGCTACAGAACAAACACTTAGTAGTAAAATTATTACAGAAAGTTGCAGATTTTAAATTACCCAGGCCCTGACTGCAAGATTCTGCATGATCTGGGATTTATGCTGAGGAATGGTTCAGGGTGTGTGGTGAATCATTAGCAACTGGAATTTGGTTCCTCACCAACCACCTGAACTCTCACTGCTTCAACATGGGGAAGAGCTTGCTAACAAGATTATTTAGGAGCACAATTAGTGAAAATTACAGTGGCACCTTCTATAATCAGGAAAGTCATCCTGTGGCAAGAAAACAGCACTGCTGCCCAAACACAGCTGTTCTCATCTGTATATCGGAAGATTTAAGGAAATCTGACCCCCTCATCCTGACAGTCATGCAGCCTCCAAATGCCTCCAGCCTGCTAACTTACCTTCTATTATGAGCCAAATTTGTATCCCCCCATAAAATAATTCATATACTGAGGTTCTAACCCCTAGTAGCTCCAAGTATGACTGTATTTGAGACAGGGTCTTTAAAGAGGTAATTAAAGTGAGGTCACCTGGGTGGGTTCTAATCCAACAGAACTGAAGCCTCATAAGAAGAGGAGATTAGGATACAGACATAAACCAGGGAAAGACATAGAAAAGAAAGTCAAGAAGGGAGTCCTCAGGAGCAACCAATCCTGTCCACACATTTACCTTGAACTTCCAGCCTCCAGAATTGTGAAGAAATAAAGTTCTGTTGGGTAAGTTGCCCATTCTGTGGTGCTTTTTTATGGCAGCTCTAGCAGACGAATACACATTCTCATTTCAGGTCTGGTTCAACCTTCCTTTCATCCAGCCAGTTCCTGTTCAACTCGCCCTTCCAGCCCCTATCGGGTTCTGGCTTCCTACTAAAATCCCAATTCACCACAGCCCATTCAGTACCTCCTATGTCTGCCCAGCTGCCATCTTATCTTATCCTCAGAGAAGCAAAGCCTGAAGCCCTTGGTGAAAACTGTCATCATCATGAATATCATCCTTCTCCTCTTCCTCCTATCATTATCATCATCATCAACAACAACATCATCATCATAGAGGAACCACAGCCTCTGCTCTCCTAGTGACACAGAGAACCACACCAGCCAATAAGTAGAGGAAACCGGAAACATGAGGCCTCAAAAGCACCAAGAGACTCATTTTCCTAATCTTGGTGATCTCGCTGACTCATGAAAACACTCCTCTAGATTGCAATTAGCTCTTGGTTATTGTTTTTGTCTATTCCTAGATTGGATGACTTCCCTTCTTGGGAGAAGACTCTTCTTGGAAGTCTGTATGAAGATAAAATTCTTACCCAGTAAACGGCCTCTTTCTCAGCAGCTGCTATGGGAAGGCAGCCAGGGTTCACAGTGGATCTATACTCTCTGGCTGTGTGTTTAAGCCTACCATACAGAGATGAGCAAACTGTGCTGTTACTTCCAGATAAGCCTCTAGGACTCCTGCTTCATCCTTCCTCTCTGATACAATGACAATTATAACTAAGTGCTAGACACTGTGCTGCATACACAACAAGTACTAGCGACGTGTCATCAAACAATTATACTTACATTCATTATTTCTAACATTCAAAACACTCTTGCAGAATAGGTATTGCTAGCCCCACATTTTCTTTTTCTAGAAAAAGAGACAGGGTCTGAGAGAAGCTAAATAACACGTTCAAGACCACACTCCTCAAATGTGAAAAAATTAGGATTCAAATTCAGCACTCATGTTCTCTCCATAACTATGGTGCAAGCAAACCCCAGGTCAGCTAAGCACAACCAAATGAGCAGGGTGCTTTACCTTGTGGAAGGAGTCTCTTGCAGATAATACTCGGTGTAGTGCAGACCCAGGTGACACAGGGTCTGCCAGCTCATCTGAAAGAAGAAAGTCCGCCTGTGGACTTCCTGTGGGCCAAGAGAAGAGACCAAAACCACGGTACAGAAAGCAGGGATAAAAACCAGCAGGGCAAATGAACCCATGGCAGCCAAGGCCAGGGCACCTCCTCCAGCCAGGAGAAAGAGGTACCTGAAAGAAAAAGGACAGACAAATGAATCACATCAAAAGTCATTCCAGGGAAGCCAATTGAGGTAGGCCCCAATATAACACCTAAAAAAAAGCATGATGTTATCACACCAAAGCCTTCCTTTCGTTCTTCTGAAGGAAACAAACATGGGAGAAAAAGCCAGGGCCAACTTGTAAAGGACTACCTCAGGAGACAAACCCTGACTCCTGCCCAGGTGACTCTGGCAACCCCTCTCTTAAGGGGGTACCCACCATTCAAGTGCTTCCCATCCAAAGTATTCCACCACTGGCTCTAGAAATTCTGGAGGGCTTGCTGGTAGAGGCATCTTTAAAAGCTACTGGTGCATTGTCTGACTGAGAAGTGATGTGAATCCAGTGTGGAGGATCCAGAAGATCTCTCTAGACCTGCTCTCATGAAGTGTCTTTCTTCTTTTTTCAATATTTTATTTATTTAGTTGTAGTTGGACACAATACCTTCATTTTTATGTAGTGCTGAGGATCGAACCCAGGGCCCCGCCCGCACCAGGCGAGCGCTCTACTGCTGAGCCACGACTCCAGCCCCCAAGTGTCTTTCCTTCTCATAGGGTTTGCACTGCCCCCAAACATTTTAGAGAGCCCAGGATATATAAAAGACTCAATACTTCCTTTGGATAAATGTTTGAAAACTCAATGATGAAATCTTTTAAATCTCCCCTTCATCCTTGCTGAACTTTAGATCTTATGAATTCATGATTTGATTCTGGTTTTTAAGTCTATCTATTTAAGTTGATCAATCCTCTTATGAAAAATGTGGAGATCAAGTTGTTGCAGAATCTGTCTTCCTTTTTCCTAGTACCAACATTGGTCTTCTTAGTCCCCCTGACTTTTTCATTCTGTTCCCACATTCCTGTGGCCATTTTCTTGAGGTCTTTTTCTTCCCCTACTAGCCATATCTTACAAGTCTGGGTTTGGGTTCATTTTTCTTTGTATGTCCCAACACAACAATTGTCACTACAAAAACAGGGTTCTAACTCAAATACAAAGATGACATCAGGTGTGATTTTGTGCATTTGAGCTAGTTTTTCCCAAATTTCTCTCTTGGTACTATTGCCTCCCTAGGGTACAGGACATCAATGACCACTCATTTCCACTGAAGTAGTCAGTTGGTCATGAACTTCCTGGTCTGGACAGTTTCTTTGTCTCCATGATACTGGTGGATCCTCAGGCATCCAGGGAGGAAAGGTACAATTGTTGTTTTGTTTTGTTTTGTTTCGTTTTGTTTCCCCAGGGTTGTAAAGTACCCACCTCAAAGAAATGGCTGGTGGACCATGCCTCCCTCAGAAGCCAAGTAGATAAGGATCTGCAGAAGCCTGGGAGAGTTCGTGTTATGTAGACTAGGTTCTTTCTGCATTATGTGGTTTTTCTTAAATTGGTGCTGAATTAATAAAGCTGAATGAAGGGATCAGAAACAGTGTGCAACGTGGACTGATAAGGGAGAGGAAAGGTGGGTTAAAGAAGCCCACATTTTCTCTAACACCTCAGAAGCAGGAAACACTGTCACAGATGGATATAGCGACTCTATGACACAGTGCCAGGCACAGGTTGGCAGGAATTACTTTCCCTAAAGAGCATGGTAAATTCCTCATTGTGAAAGCCTCTGTCATTTGCAAGTGACAAAAACCTTGGGCCCTTCCTGGGCTTTTGAGCCTGTGCTTGGGGTGACTCATCCCCACAGTATCCCAGTTCATACTGTGGCCTAAGCCCTCACTTCCTTTGGGGAAAGAAGGGCAGGATGGGAGGACACTGATTCCTAACACAATAGAAGGAGAAGCTTGAAACAAGCCTCCAGTCCAGAGGCAATTGCCCTCAGGGACTTAGAAACATTAAAATATATGATTTATAGAGTGCTTTCCATTTCATTCCATTCCAGGTATTGTGTTAATAATCCTTTATAAGATAGTATTATTTAATCCTTAAAATAATGCCCTGAAAGAGGCATTATTATTTCTGTTTTACAGATAAGGAAAGGGCACCTCAGAAACTGTTTACTCTTCTATACAAGGACACTCAGTACTCAAGGAGTGAGGGTTCCGTAGGCTGACTCTCTCGTGAGTAATGTTGAACCTACAGTGACTCCCTGGGAATTAACTCTTTTGTTTTACTAGTTCTGCTTTAGTATTTTGTGATTCTCAATAGAAACTTCTTTTTAAATATTTCCCCACTGTCATATCCCAAAAATAAAAGTAAGGATCATCAACTAGCTGTGAAGAAAGGAGTTTAGTGAAAACTCAGTTTAATGAAACTCAACAACCTCAAGTGATTATCAAATGTGGCTAGATTTTATTTAAGAAACACCATTAGGGCCCAGATGTAGTGCAAGTGACAGAATGCTTGCCAAGCGCAGGAGTCCTAAGATTGTATCTCCAGCTCTGGGGAGTAGGGGGCAGGGAGAGGAAGAATAAAAAAAGGAAAAAAAGAAAAGAAATCCTGATATATAAAAAAGTCTTATTTCCAAAGTTAGAGAACTCTTAGGAGGTGGCCTTTGGGCAATGAATTTTCACTTTTCAAAAGATTATTCCACTGAACATTTTTTAAAAATGAGTACTATCTACAATGTATTGAAGTTATTGGACATAAAATCATTGCAATCAATTTAACAAATCTCTAGTGACAATTTTTGAACCTCAAATTGAGATACACTAATCTATTAAGATTTGTTTGACATTGTTCTGAGAAATCAAAGGCATTTTTAAATCGCACTGTTATAAATGTAACATTAGTATTACTTAACATGATATTTAATTTTATTGAAAATAAAGTTAGGACTGCTCAAGAATATCTGGGATTTATGGTTGGCCCAGAGAGATACATTTGGAGACTTCCTCTTCCATCTTAACATCCATCTCACCACCCCCCTGGTTATTTTGCATCCATTTCCCACTGAATGTGAACCTATCCAATTTTGAGTCAATGTAGACATGATATCAATTTCCAGGTCAGTTTTACTCTATGATATATATTCATTGTCAAGAAACAAACAACCAGTGGCAGGGATAGTGAGCTAAAAAATAAGTGTAATTAGTACATAATCTTCACAGATGCCGTCCACTCTTTGCTTTCTATTATAGTATTCCCAGGCCTAAGAGCAAAATTAGCCATGCAGCCTACCTGGCCCGAGTGGAAAATGAATCCATAATGCAGAGATAATTAAACAGCAGTGCAAAAGGAAAAGCAGCCCCTTGATAAAGTGACACAGGATGGAGGAAAAATTGCTGAAGCCAATCCATTCTGAACTGAAACATACACTGTCCTGCTAGAATCCTTAATTGGTGCCGTCCTGCAAGAGAAACCACAGCCAGGCTCTCTGGTCTTTTTATATGTTTTAGGAAGATCTGGCTAAGCAAAATCAAAACAAAAGCACTGGCGATAAGTAGAACAAAAATTGACTTTCTGATAAAGGAAACTGCTCCATGGAAACCAAAACACATCTCGGTCTTATTACTTTGCTTTGAGAAGCTGTGGTTTTTAGATTACATAGCACATTATTTGCCTTTCCAGTCATCATACTGTCATATTTTCTTCACTAAGTTAATAAAAAAAAATCTCATTTTCCAGTTGTATTCAAACAACTCCTTGGACTGAGAAGAGGAACAAGAACAGGAGCAGGAAGAGGGAAGCAGCTTCTAAAGGCAGAAAACAAGATTTTCCCTTTCTAACTACCACTCTCTTCCATTACTTTTTTTCATATCAGCATCCCTTGTGTATCTATTTCTTGGTTAGTTTATTTCCTGCCCTTTAAAGGCAAAATTTGAGCTCTACAAGGGAAGGACTTCGTTTTATCTGGTGTTATACTCCCAGCACTCAGAGAAGAGCTGCGTATGTACTTTGTACTCCATAAATATTTGTTAAAGTTTAAAGGGTTTTGGTGGTATAAAGGTGTATTAAGAATTGTAATGCAAAATAATAATAATAATAATAATGAGAACTCATGTATAATGGCATAATTTGACGTGAACATACTTTATATACAGAGTTACGAAAAATTTTGTTGTGAATGGATAATTATGATTGTAACACATTCCACTATTGTCATGTATATAAGAAATTTAAAAATTTATAAAAAGGTTTTGTAGAAGCAAAAATGTGGAGAAGAAACATTTTTAAATAATCTTTTCTTTCGGCTATGAACAAGTAATACAGAAGACTTCCTAGAGCCAAAAGAAGAATGAGAGGACATTTTTCAGCTAGTGGAGATCCATCTGCTGAGCCCTGGGCATTATAGGGCTATCCCTAACAAGCTGTTTTTTCATCTACAAAGAGACATGAAAGAGCAAGTAGCCTTGGCAGGATTGGTATTTTCTACAACAGGTATTTTGTCACAGCAATGGAAAGCAAAAAAACTAGAGGTGGTTAGGTCACAAAGACTCTGCCCTCATGAATGAGATTAGCGTCTTCATAAAAGGGCCTGAGTGAACCTGTTTGCCCTTTCCACCATCTGAGGATGCAGCAGAGGCATTAGCTATGAGGATTGGGCCCTTACCAGACATACAATCTCCAGGGCTTAGATTTTCAATATCCTAGCCTCTAGAACTGTGGGCAATAAATTTCTTATCTTTATAAATTACCCCATTTAAGGTAGTTTATTAGAATAGCTAAGATGGCCTGAGACAGATGACCAAGGAGGGTCTTCCTGAGTATAATGATTCTTTTTTTTTTTCTATCAATTTGGCAAGGCTACAATATTCAGTCTTCCAATCAAACACTAATATAAGTGCTAGGTGAAGGTGTTTTGTGAATGTGATTAAAATCCATAACAAGTTGATTTTAAGGAAGGGAGTTTATCCTAGATTATTCTAGATAATCTTTGTGGGCCTGTGATAGACCCAACCTGATTTTTCTCTTAAAATTGGGAGCCACCTCGCCACAAAGCCATGAAAAGCTAATTTCGGCTTCACTATAAATTACTACAAATTCTGAACCTGCTTGGAATGCCTGCCCATGCCTTGAACTCACCCATGCCTGGCTCTCTGACCAGATAGCAGCCCTCTCTGAAACTTTAGTGATGCCTCATAAATCTTGGCCTTCCCTGGCCAGATAATGACCCTCTCTGAGGCTCTAATGACCTTCATAAATTCTGATGCCAGAGCCAGCAAAAATCTTATGCTCATCAAAGTTTTGTTATCTGTAACCCCGCTTTGTATAACTTTCTGGGCTATAAAGCTAGGCTGCAAGAAAGCTGCGGTGCTGTCTTGTTCCTGCAGTCTGGGGTGGGAGAGGCAGCCTGGCCAGTCGAAATAACAAGCTTGCTTTAATTTGATTTTAATTGGAGTCAGTGGTCTTTTCTTTCGTCCTGATCTAACACCTGATCCAAACAGTTGAAAGGCCTTAAGAACAAACTGAGGCTTCCCTGAAGAAGAAGTTCCACTTGTGGACAGCAGTTACACCCTTTGTATAAGAGTTCCAGCTTGGTCTACAGGTTCTGGACTTGCCCAGCCAGGGCCCCACAATCACATAAACCAATCCTTTGCAATAAACCTCTCAATATATGTCTTTGGCTGGTTCTGTTTCTCTAGTTGAACACTGAGTATGTGACATCTGAGGTCAGAGATGTTAGGGTGGAGGACAATTGGAAGCAGTTGAGGGTGGAAAGTCAGTTTGGCTTCTTGGAGAAAAAAAATGGGGCCCTCTGAAAGAGGAAGAGAAGCATGAAATGCAAGACAAGAGATGTAGTCTGGCTGGATCTGATCCAGAGACAAGTTATGGAAAGATTTTTAAAAGAATGGGAAGTAAATAATTGGATTTTTTGGTTTGTTTTTTTTTTTTTTTATTACCAAGGATTGAACCCAGAGGTGCTTAACCACTGAGCCACATCCCTAGCCCTTTTTCTTTTCTATTTTTTTTTTTTTTAATTTTGGGGCAGGGTCTCATTAAGTTGCTTAGGGCCTGGCTAAGTTGCTGAGACTAGCCTGGAATTTTTGATCCTCCTGCCTCAGCCTCCCATTCCCTGAGGGACTGAAAAACTTCAATGAAAAATAAATCCTAAAAGAAGAAAAATCCTGTAGAAGCTAATTTTATTTGAACAGGGCTTACTAACATTGCATTTTAACACAAAAACCTACGTCAAATGAAAAGTATCAGAAAAGTGGCATTTATGAATGGTGATGTGTTCAACAGCATCATTCATTTATCACAGGAAAATACGTAGAGTAGCAGGATGTTCCGAGACAACAGGATTAAAGGTGTGCATGGTTTCTGAACTTGATTTTTAAAGGATAGTTTTACTGTAAGAGAATGACCTGGATGAGAGTTGGGGGTGGGAGTGATTTTACAGGTCAAGGATGGAAGGAACAGGGCTGGGATTGTGTGGCTCAGTGGTAGAACTTGCCTTAACATGTGTGAGGCCCTGGGTTTATAAATAAAATAAAGATATTGTGTTTTTCTACAACCAAAAAAAAAATTAAAAGATGAAAGGAACAACAGTGGAGAAACATGCAGGGAGATTAGAGATGGTGGGGCAAATGGTGCAAAGTGGAAGAAATAAATTTCAACAAAAACTTGCAGGTGAATTAAGTTATGTGGTGATGAGGTGTGCTAATGGTGACTTTCCAGTTGCTTGAGCGACTGGGAGAAGGATGAATTCCTTTACTGAGAGGGAGATCAAGGAACAACTGGTTGGAAAGAGGGCAAGGTCATGAATCAAAAGCTCCCTTTGAGGTTGATTTCAATTTTATAAGACTTAGGCATCCAAATAGGTGTCAAATAGTCAATCTAAAATCAGGTGTGAAGCCCAGCAGAGCACAGAACTAGAGATACTAAATTGAAAAAAAAAAAACAGCAGGTAGAGGGCCACAACTGACCTATGGGAAAGATAAGATCACTCAGATTAAGAAAAGGGCCACGGGTCGGGAGGCGAAACCCTAACATAGAAGACCGCAACGAGACTGAAAGGAACACTCGGGAGGTCAGAGGGACACCTTCATAGTGTGATCACAAGTATCAAAAGGTGGTAAGGATGTAAAATGAGGTCATAGCGATGTGAGCTGGGCTGAAATAAATGTTTTAAAATCGAGTCGATGCACCCGTGGTCAGTGCTGAGGTCCTCAGTGAGCCAGGCGTAGCGGCCCATCCCAGCGCACACCGCCATCCTCGACATCTGCGAGCTTTCCGCGCCTTCCCCCGGCCCCGCCCCTGCCCACGCCGCGCGCAGGCCCAGCGGCTCCGCCCCGTCCCAATCCTGTCAGGCTGTCCAATCGCTTGTAGAGATCGTCGCTTTATCCAGTCTGTGGTGTTGATCTCGGCTCCAGCTGTAGATCAGGTCCGTACAATGGCGGAGAAGACTCAAAAGAGGTGCGTCTGCTGCTTGAGGAAAGATTGTTCTCAACTTTCCGCACGGGGGGAACCTATTTCTGGTCGCCAGTGTTGGGGACTGAGGTGGTGTCTCATCCTGGGCTGATTGGTACCTAAACCTCAGACCTGGCTTCCGCTGAGAGGAGGTGACCCAGTGGGGGTAGAGAGGGCGGAGAAGGGATACAGCTTTGGTATCGCGACCGTTTTGGTTCTTGCTTCCCTCAAGCCCTCTGCCGCAGGACGCCTGCGCAGAAGGGTCCCGGCCTCTTCCCCGGACGCTGGGTGAAACCGCCTTCATTTCTCCCATACTCTTGTTGCCAGTGCGTGCACGGCCTGTTGCTGGACTTTGTTGCGAGACGCCGGCGCCAGTGCTGGCCACACCCTAGTAACCTATGGGTCTTCAGGATGGGAGCGGAGGTGTAAACTGATTGGAGGTTGCGCGTCAGAAAGGGGGCCGTACTTGGGCCAGGTCTGTGCCTGGTTCTGCCAGGCGTGTAGGAGCTCCCTGTCAACAGGGGGGAGAGGAACTGTGGTTGCTTCTTCGCTAGGGACTCCTGGTATTCCACCTAGAAACAGACAAGAAAAATGCCTACGTAAAAGCATCTCCAAAAGCAACTGTGTTGAGCGCCCTCTGCTGACTCTGGCAAAACCGATATCGGTTTTGGTGCCATAAATTGAAATTTAGGCTTTTGTTCCACTTAGAGGGTAATCTGTAATTTTTTTCAAAAACTAAAGAAAAACATTACTATAAATATTATATACCGTATATTCGTAGCATAAGGTGAAGAGGAAGGTATTATTGACTTCTTCTAATAAGTCTGCATGCCTGCCCTCCCCTCGGAACTGCCTTCTTCCCGCTGCACCCCATTACTCCCGAGGTCCAGCGGGGTCAACGTTTTAATTTAATTGTTAAGTACGTCGCGAAGAAGCATGCAGACGGCGACATAAACACTACTTATGATCTCTTCTTAGGACGTAAATCTAAAGACAGATCATGTATGAGTTTCTTCTACCCCTACTTGAGACACTATTTAAATAATGAGAAGGGATTGAGAGAATGAAAAACTTCAATGAGAAATAAGGGCCTAAAAGAAGAGAAATTTTGTAGAAGCTAATGTTATTTGAACAGGGCTTAATACCATTGCATTTTAACACA